TGACGACAGGTCAGGTCCATATGAACAGGATCCTTCCTTCCTTTTCTCGGACTGGGACCTGTTCATATATGTTCTTGGCAGATGATCCAGAAGTGTTTTGCCATTGCCTTCTTCTGTGTGTGCATGGAGTAATTGTTGGGATGCCACGGAGAAACCGGGGAAGCCCCCGGAGGAAAACTCCGTGTTGCCTAGACCACGGCCTTGCCCAACACAAGTTATAAATTCGGGCACCGCCGGGAATCGAACCCGAGACCCCAGGATTACAAGGCCAGCGTTCTAACCGCTAGACCACCGTGGCTATTCATGTATAATGCGTGACATAAAATCTGCGTAGGAGAATCAGTGAACATTCAGGTAACTTCGGAAGAAACGAGATAAGGTGAGAGATAAGAGAAGGGTGTAGGAGTTGCGATAGGCACTATTTTTTTAACGGGCAGGGAGACATAAATTTTTTTTGTGGCTACGAAGGACCCCAGGCAGTGCTCAATCGTCCTTCTGGTAGTGATAGGTCCAGTAAAGGTAAGTGATCAGGGTGGGATAAAATATAAAGTAGCAAGGAAACGAAGCAGGGTCTTATCCAAGCCTCAGCCCTTACCTCAAAGAAAACACTACTCTTTACCGTTACAAAGATCATATTTTGTATTCTGTTTTTTTTAGAAAATAGTCACTGTAAGAATCACACGAAATCCATAAAGACAAAATGAATACTTATTGGCTGTTCAAGCAGATTGAAAACGTAGTTGCCATTTGGCTTTACAGGGCTAATACAAAAATATCCGCTGACAGATGTACAAAAAAGTATTCAGAACTTTCAACCTCCGAGTTAGACTTGTTTAAATTAGCAGTGCGTAAAGATATGCATATTTACTGGTAGTGAGATGATAATATTAAAATTAATCTCAAGGAAATAGGAGTTATGGAGTGAACTTTACTCACCTGACTAAAATCTTTCTATATTTGAATATTTATGTTTTCGTAGAGGATACAGAGTGATAAAATATTTTTAACTTAACGGTCCCAAACATTTACAAATGTAATTCGATATTCATTTGTGTATTATCGTTTCCAAACATCTGAACTTTGTTACGGGTTCAAAGGATCATGTGACATTAATAATTAATTAATTAAAGTAATTCGCCAATTGCTGGGGCAGATACATTATAGCCTGGTGCAGTTTAGATTTAAAACGGCGTTTACTAATTAGATGTCGATCTCTTAATACATCAGACTTAACAAGATATCGGATTGAGCTGTCAAACTATTACCGAAATTGAATTCGCTGTAAATTAACTTCGATTACTGTAGTTGAAAGTTCAGTCAGCCTCAGGATAAAGCAGATAACATACTGTTAGTTCACTGTGTGTATCTGGGTTGCACAGCATGTAATTACAATGACGACTCTAATTATACAAATTACCATATGCTTTTGAAGAAGACGGAGGCAGATGTTGCCAGCACAAACCTGACATGACCAAGTGGCACAGAGCTCAGTTTGTCTTTTGGAAAAGACGCAGATCTCGAGATAAATATTCTAATGAGTCGATGCTAGTTTCCAGGGTTACCGTTGTTGTTGTTGTACAGACATGTGGACTTGTATGCAGGTAATCAACATCTTGGAGGAACATACTGCCTCCACATTCAGGGTTGAAGCCACACTTTAATCCTGAAGATGGAAACAGTATTTTCCTCCTAGCAACCCAGAAAACCAACACTGAAATCTTCACCGCCGTCAGTAACCAAAATTTCATGTCTATGTAAGGTTTTAGTGTTCTCAAGTTATTCAATAGAATTTAGTTATAACATTTCACTGAGCGTAACGTAGCATAAGGTAGTAAAGTCCGAGATATGAAAAATTTAAATGTGACGTCAGAAAATGCCGTATTTGTACGTATATCCGCAAAATTTAAGTGATACATAATTTTTAAAACCGAAAAGGAGAATTTGGAGAAGGGAAACAGCATTTTGCTTTCACGACACTTTTGTAAATTACAAAATTGAGTAAGAAATTTAAAAAAAATCCGGATTCGCTGCTGAAATTCCAAATTCATATTCTTGAAAGATATTCCACTGACAATCATGATTTATTAATCCAAAACAGTACTAGTCATCTGCAAAATATTCTGTAATTAAAACAAATACAATTTCTAGCGAGTAGGCAAATTGCTACAATCTTGCTCCAAGATTTGGTAACCTTAAGTTGGGGGCATCATTTCAGAAGAATTTCGAAATAAAAACTTTTTACCCTAATCTACAACTTTAAACAACATACAAATTTACTATCCGAATAAAAACATGAAACTTTCAATTCATTTGCCGCAATGAACAAAAGTAGAAAGGGAATTAGACTAGAAAGTTATCTCGCCTCTGTCCGTGCCTTTATGTGACATAAACTTTATGTGTGTGTTCCACGTTAATGTTCTCAGAGCGAAAGAAATTTCTGACTTCCCTGTTTAAATTTTCATCTCACATTTGGAAGATGATAACACAACAAATAAAACTCCGCCAATCAAATAATTTAGTACAAACACGTGGACAGTAATGAAACATAATATACGATATGAAACAGGGGATTTCCTACTGAACAGGGGCTTATTTTTACTAGTCATTTTTTCTTTCAAAACTTCTTTAAAGAAGCTTGTTGTAAATTCGTAGTGAATCCCTAAACAACATTAGAACTTGCTTTCTTTCCATCCGTCAGTGCTCGCGATTACATGCTTTTTGCATTTGAGCATTCGATCCATCACTCTACCTAAAATTAGGTCAACACAAGTCAGATTTCTCTGTTACCTTCATTTAAGAGTTCGTGTATGTCTTGACGTAAGTGTCAGATTCAGATTTGTACAATATATGTGCACGAGTTATTTTTACGTACATGAATATCACGACAATTTGAACATTTTTAACAAACATGGCGGCAGTGCGAAATTTGAGTCGAGAAAAATACTGCCATGGATTCTTAAAAGTCATGTCGTTTTATCCAGTACTGAACGACGTATTGCGTTTTAAGATTCCGAAGTATTATAAATCACATTCTAGCGCATTCATCTGTTATTTCTCAACATAAAATCGAACCGAGGATTGCAGACTGACCAATAAAACTGTCACAGTTATAAAATACGAGACATAATTTTTCGAAACAAATTATGTGACAATATATTATTTTATTATTTCTTATGTACAGGATTAAACTACGGCTAAATATTTAACTGCGTACGCGAACAACATGTACAAATTATAAATTTCCACAATGAATTATGAACAAATGTCGCAGCCAAGAATGTAGTAC